AAGTAGGATAGATTAGGGTAAGGTGGGTGTATAAGGATAAAAGTTGGGGGAGGAGGAGGAGATGATAGGATATACTGTATATATATACTGTAGCTTGTAGCTGCATACTTTATGCATCTACTGTCTCCCACTCCATCCCTCCCACCCACACAACACCCAACCCAAGCCCTCACCCAACACCATCCAACACCAAAAAAAACAAGACAAATATCAATTCATCTCTAATCTAAAAGACCCTAAATCCAGCTCTATTCCCTGAAACCCCACCCCCCTCCATCCCCCACTACTACCGCTGAAAATACTCCCTCTCCCCCTCCCTCGCAGGACTATACGCCTTGTACGCCCCACCTCCACCACCACCCACCTCCTGCACCCCCATCGGCGCTGCCGCCCCAACCAAATTCACATCATCTCTCTGATAACTAGAATTGCTCTCCAGCCGCCGCAGCCCGGGCTCCGGGCCAGGACTATACTCGCGCAGCGCAGAGGGCGTCTGATGGTAACCCGGGGGGTAAACGACGCCGACATCGCCTTCATCATGGGCAAGGGAGCGGTGGGAGTCGCGACTCGACGGGCGGCGGCCGCGCGGGTGGTGGAGGGCGCTGGGATGGCCGCTGATTGTCGAGCTGGCAGAGGGGGTGCCTGGCCGGCTGCCGTAGAGGGAGCCGTCGCCGCCGTGTTCGTCGCTGAATTCCGGTCGGGTCTTAAAATTTTCAAAGTCCATGTTGTCTTCCGAGACGAATTCAAAGGGGGCGGGGGCTGCGGCTGGTTTGCCTGGGTTTTCCTTGGACATGCGCTTCATGGTGTAGGTGTCGCTGAACGCGGCCGTATCGCCAATGTCGCCGTCGAGTCGGCCGCGGTAGACTTCTGCGAGTAGGTGTTTGCTCTTCTCGTGCACCATCGGCACAGTGAGCTTTTGGTAGAGGGCGGGATGACCGAAGCGCACGGCGACGCGGTCGCGGCGGCGCGATTCCTTGTCAATTGGGGTGGGGGCTTCGACGCCCTGGGCGCGGTCGCCTTGGGTGTAGTATTTAAAGGAGTTATCGAAGGCGCCTTTGCAGTAGAATTTGAAGGCCAAGAGGCCGACGGGAAGGGGAATCATGGCGCCGAGCATCGTCCATTTGGAGCCGTAGCCGCGGGCGACGCAGAGGAGGGCGACGATGCAATTGGAAAGGAACAAGCCGACGAGCATGCGATTGAAGAGGACGCGCCAAAAGGCCCCTCCAGACTCGTTTTTTGTGCAGAAGACATACCTAGAGATTGTTAGCAATGGCTCGAGAACTCTCAAGGGCACTGTTTACATGAGAAGGTACTTCTTCATCCACGAGTCCAGAGAGAAGTAAAACGCAACAACCACCAGCGTAATCGGCTGCAAGGGTGCAAAGCACAACGCCACCGTACTATAAAACAAAAAGTAGTTGTAGTAACTCGCATAGTCGAAAGCCGGAGGCGCCGTCAAGTTGATCAGCTCCCTCGGCGTCGGACTCAAAAACTTCCTCGAGAAACTACCCCAGGCCAGGTTGACGGCTTGTGAGAGGTCAATCGCCGCGCCCAAGTTACGCTGGACGAGCCAGGTGACCCAGAACGGGCTGACTTCGCACAGTGTGGCCATGACCTTTGTAAAGATGTCGAGACCGCGAAGAATGTCCATGAATGGGAGGTGGTCGTCGCGTGCCATGCGCACAACCATGACGATCATGGTAAAAGCAGCGCTGAACAATGAGAAGACGAAGAGGTTGTTGAAGATGAAAAAGGCGAACAATTGCGCCGTCACGTGGCGCTCCCTGGACGTCTTGGTCGTATCACCAGACAGTAGGCGTCCGGAGGGAGCAAGACCGAGTTGCGTTAACAGAATAGCGACGTCAACGCCGGTGCAAGCAGACCCTGAACAATGGCCCAGAACTTGGAGTGTTTGACAAGTTCGATCTGGAATTCTGGCCAGACGAACCCGAGATTGGTGAGCTTGGAAAGGAAGATGGCGATGAGGGCATTGGGGATGAAGTAGAGAAGGGTCAGGAGGTAATCCAGAAATTGTTAATCAGCCGCCGCCAACGTCTCCTCTTGGGGTCGAGATGGAGATTTTTCCAGATGATGTCCTTTGGCTTTGGAGCAAGACGCACCGTGGTGCCTTTGGGATGCTTGTTGCGCGCAACAAAAGCAACACTGTGTGCAGATTCAATCGTTTCATAGCTGGCAAAGCCATAGGGCATGGCGTCCCGCTTGTCAATCGTCTCTCTGACCAACTTGATCTGAGATTCCAGGCGCTGGATCCGGGCCGTCAGATAATCAATCGCATCCACCTTTTGCGTCTTGTCCGTGAATTCGGGGTCCTTCTTGGATGGCGTGCAGAGCGGTCGTTCCGGGGGAAGCTGATTTGGATTCTTCAAATACTTCGCCAGAACCGTCTCGAGCTTCATGACGGCCTCCTCATGCGCTTCAATCAGATCTGGAATGTCCTTGACATTTCTGCCAATTGATGCGCGAGGCACTTCGGGTGTCGTCTTCAGACTATCCGTGACCTCTATAATGCCCTGATCACTTCGAAACGCGCGACTCAGATCGGTAATCATCAGCGTCCTCGAGTGCAGCGAGTTCTGATACTCTGGGCTCTCGAGAAACTTGCGTCGGAGGCGATGAACGGCCCGATAAGTCCACCACAGGAATCCGCAGACGATGACGTCGAATATATAAGCCAGGCACACAAAGGCCCAGAAGATGTCTCCAAACAGATCCCTGGGCGTCATCAAGAAGATGGCCCCGCTCAGCTTCGCACCACCAAAGTTCTTGGCAAACTCGACGGAATGGGTCACGTTGACGGGTATGATGATTGCGCAGCCGACAACGGCAAGGACACAGAACATGTTCCTACACATGCGGCCAAAGCGCAGGAAAATCGTCGCGTCCAGACCAATCTTGTCCACATATTCCTGCTCATTCGTCTTGAAGACGGGCTTGTACCAGGCAAAGAGGCCCTTGCCCATAGGCGGCGGCCGGTGCTTCTCATCCGTATGGCGGAGGCGGGGAGCGTATACGGTGGTGTTGAAGGGGCGGAAGATGAGGAAGATGAGGAAGATGGCCGAGGTGATTACGAGCGAAGTGCCGATAGCGATGAGGACCGAGTCTTGTGATACCTAGCTTGTCAGTGACTTTGTTCCGACGTTCAAGGCGCATGTATCCTTGCCATACCTCAGCCCCCAATGGGTTGTTCCCCAGTAATTGCTCAAACTTTTCCTTGATGCTCAGGTCCCGCCGGAGCATACTCGACATGGGCGACGCCATCGTGGGTGTGTATGTAGGTGTGTCCGTGTATCGCTGGGTAGGAACAGCGGGCGTGTGTAACAGCAAAAGCCACACTCAGCTGGTGTGTCTCTGCGCGCGCTGCCTCCACAAAAGGTGGAGAAATGCAGGGACGTATACAGTAATACCGACAAGTGTAACGAACGACTTGAACACCGAAGCCAGGAGCTCGATCTCGCAGCTCAGCATCAGCGCATACCGAAAAATGACTCCCACGCAAAACACGACAAGACACGAGGTAAGTGAGAGGGAGAGTGAAACGGGACGGGAAAAAAGGGACAAGGACTGTACGGTAAGTAGATGTCGGATAGAGACAACAAAACCAAACCCCCCAAAACAACCAGGCCCGCTCAAGGAGAAACAATCAAACAAAGGGATAAGGATAGACAGGTAGCAAGCAGCTAGATGCAGCAGAGTTGGCAGACTCGCATCCCCCACAAAGCGGCAAGCAAGCAAGCAAAGCAAGCAAAGCAAGCTGGTACGAAAAGAGGAAGACGGCGTCTCATGCGGCTCTGTTAACTACCCAGCTTGGCCCATTTCGCGTCGAGTAGCCGTTGAGCCGCGCGCCACAGGCCGCGGTCCCCAACGCATATGTTTGTATTGTAAACGAGCTAACAAGTCAGGCACGCGCTCTTACTGGCTGCTCGCCTTGGCGCCGCGCACACAGCAAACGCCCTGTCCAACTTTATTTTTGGACGGGTCACGTGGCGAGAAACAGGCACACATGTACAGTACATCATACAAGCACATACTCTAAACCCGAATTCATCCATGCCTTGACCCTACAAACTCTTTCATTTCCCATCCCAACACCGTGCCAGAACGATAAGCTACTATAGTCCCTCCTCTTCCTATCCTCAAACCCCAACCCTTTTCAAGCTCTCCAAACCCCAACAAACCTAACACACAAACAAAAAGTCAGCATCAGCACTCAGCACTCATCCCCAACTTCCATTCGACCGCACCCGGCCCCATCCCCCCAGCTCAGACAATAGCGCTCTAAAATGGTGTGAAAAAAACCAAAAAGATTCTCGCACAAAGAGTCCATAGAACGGGGCCCAGGATCTCTAATACGCAGTATCTGTATCAACTACACGAGGGGGGGAAGGGGGGATTGTTTCTTCTTGCTTCCTTTCCTTTTACCTTCCCAACTCCAATTTCCTCTTCCTGCATAGAAAGAAGGAAGAGAAAGAGGAGAAGGAAGAGAAAGGAGAAGGAAAAAAACCCCCCTTTTCCCCCCTCGCAAGTTGCGTCATCATAGCCAGATCCCTAGGTCCCAATCCCAATTCCCCAATTCCCAGCGCAACAAGCACACGAGGATGAGAAGAAAAAAAGGTTACATGTGTGCAAAAGGAGGCAGGGGTTTATAGAGAAAAATAGCAAACGTACCTTGTATTTCAGACAATGCGGGGGGGTGAAAAGAGTGACTCTTGACAACGTCAGCTCTCCCCCTCTCTTCTAAGCAAGCAAGCAAGCATAAAGGATATGCAAACAAGATACGAGAAAAGGGCATCAACTGTCCACATCTAATCAGCAAAGACAACTCCACGAACAACCACAAACAACAAACCCACCAACCCACCAACCCAAACTCCCGCCCTCGAAAAAAAGGATAACTTTTCATCTATTGGCATATTTCTCATCTCTCATCTCCGGTTGTTTTTTTCTCCTTTTGTGATGGCTCAGTTTTTACCACCAACACCATGACCACCCCTCCGCTCTCCAAATCTCTTCCTTCGTCCCTTCCTCATCAACCCCTCCTTCTCCGGACTCGCCGAGTTGCTCCTCCAACTGCCCACACTCGCAGTCCCATCACTGTCCCCATAGCCCAGCGTAAATGAAAAACTCTGGCTCCTGCCCTGCATCACACCCACCTTC